TAAACTGCACAGCATACCAACAAAATTTACTTTGGCAATCTCTCTGTAAGGAAACTGGCAGAACAAGACTAAATGCTTCCAAAACTTTCTCCTTGGAATACAGTTCAATTCCTGAATAGAGAGAGAGATACAAAAACCCCCATTCATCTCAGTTGTTTTAGAGCTGACTGGAAATCTAACAGTACAGCAGCAAGCAGGACTTTGCATTAAACATTTTAGCCACTCAACTCAAGTGCCCATGGAAAAGGTGCATTATGGAACAAAATATATTTAAACAAAATAATTAATTTTTTTGTGAGTCAGAAATACTTTATCATTTACACCCACAAATGAAACTGAAGTCCACAGAAACTGCCTGGTAAAAAAATCAAGTATTTGAAAAGTCTTCTTCAAAAGAGCTTTAGTGGTGAGTTTCTCATTGTACCTGTAGGGGGGAGCTTTGGCATGAATGTGAATTAAGTATTAAAGAAACACTATATTAGGGCAAAGATCTCATAGCTTCTTATCACTCTTATAAAACTGAATTGCTACACATACAGCCAAGACATTGATTTGTTGCACTTTCCTGGGACAGAAAGCTGGAGCAGGGGAGAAGAGTTGAACACTATTTAGACTATCTCACCGTTACCGGCATTCTCATGTTTAAGTTTTGTCAGAGATGGAAATTTCACTGTTTCTACAGTTATGATCTCTTCTCTTCATTAAGATATCTTTTTGGCCTAACTTTTCCTGATTTAACTTACAGCATCTTAAAGCCCACTAAAAAGAACGACAAAACCTTTACCACCATCTTTCCTTGTATACACTTTGCTTGTCATTGGTGGTGGAGTTGCATTCTTAATGTTTATAGACTACCTAGCACAGATGTGTACCAACCAACAACCAGAGTACCAGAAGGAGATCTACACCATGGAACTGACACATACATACATTTTCTCTGCTCCTACTCTCAGAAAAGCTTCAGGCACACTACCTGCTTTGTGGCTGGTACGAGCCCTCCCGATTTTTAACTTTATAGAAATACTGCCTCCAGCAACAGTATACACATTTAATATTACAGCTTTCTGATTTACATGAGAGGGTCTTTGTTTGTACTTACTGATATCTCAACTTTTGCCATTAAAAAATCTAGACTGATATAATTTGTTACTCACCTTTTAGCCTGTTCTCCCTGCCCCCAATCACAAACAATGGTTATTTTAAGGATCATCAAATCAAGCTGACAGCATTCCATAGTATGCTTGAAGTATTTTTAAGATGGCCTGTACACTTCAGAATGCTTTGGGTAACAGCAAAAGTATACTGCATATCTCAAGGAGAAAGAAGCTCCATTTTACTACTGCTGAAAAAAGTTTTTTCACTCAGCATTGCTTCCTGCAAGGACATCACTTTCACGCTTACAAACTGAAATAACAGTTGAGATCCTGCATTTCTTTTTCTTTCCTTTTCTTATTCCAGTCATCCTACCTGTGGGAACAGTAAACTCAAACACAGACAAAACGGTGCTAACTTTTTACTCATAAGTGGTTGCATATTTTACTCCAGATGCTTTATACCTTTGAACTTCACAACAGACTGTTTACCTCTTTTACTATAGCTCCCTGTTGATCTCAATTAAAGTGGCAAAATACTCCTATTAATGCTTACAATAAAAATGAAATTACGTGGATACACAAATTTAGCTCTTCTGCTACTTCACATGCATACACTCTGTATTTTGTGCTGAAGCCTCCAAGCTTATGGCATTCAATACAGTGCAATACAAAAGACCAAAATCCGAGATAGCTTCCCTTTTTAAGTTGAATGGCTCTATTCCCAAAGTTTCTCTTTCAGTATTTCTCAACTTCAACATCATAAACACATCGTCTGTGTTATTACTACCCTTCCCTTTACAGCTAAGATGGAAAGAGAGACATACTCTACCACCTGTACACAAATTTGGCAACCACAGCTCTATTATTTCCTTTGGCATACAACCTTTTCATTTGAAACAGTGCACCTGTCCTGGTTTCGGCTGGGATAGAGTTAACTGTCTTCCTAGTAGCTGGTAAGGTGCTATGTTTTGAGTTCAGTATGAGAAGAATGTTGATAACACTGATGTTTTCAGTTGTTGCTAGGTAATGTTTAGTCTAAAGTCAAGGATTTTTTAGCTTCTCATGCCCAGCCAGCGAGAAAGCTGGAGGGGCACAAGAAGTTGGCACAGGACACAGCCAAGGCACCTGATCCAAACTGGCCAACATGGTATTCCATACCATGGGACGTCACATCTAGTTTAGGACCTGGGGGGAGTGGGGGCAAGGGATCACCGCTCGGGGACTGGCTGGGTGTCGGTCAGCGGGTGGTGAGCAATTGCCCTGCGCATCATTTGTACATTCCAATCCTTTTATTACTACTGTTGTCATTTTATTAGTGTTATCATTATTAGTTTATTCTTTTCTGTTCTATTAAACCGTTCTTATCTCAACCCAGGAGTTTTACTTCTTTTCCCGATTTTCTCCCCCACCCCACTGGGTAGGGGGGGAGTGAGTGAGCGGCTGCGTGGTGCTTAGTTGCTGGCTGGGGTTAAACCATGACAGCACCTTTGTTATTTTTTTATGACATGCTTACATACACATTCATTCAAATACCATTTGGGGGGAACCCGTCTTTCAAAATTACATTTATACCAAGATGCGCAAAATACTATCAGTCTCCAGTATGATAAAAACTGCAGAAGAATGCTAGAAGGTGCATTAAAGAGCAAGGCTCAAGTTTCACGATTTGGTTTATTTCAGCAGGGACAATGCAGTTGGTCTAACTCTACTGGTTACTACTGGTTGTGCTATAACAATACACCATCAATAAGTGAGAAGGGTGAAAAGGGGGGCAAATTTAGGTTTTTGCCTTTATTTGTTTAGTTTTTCCTCAGTCTCCAAGAAGAATGGATACCTGATATCTGGCCATTGAACAGGTATGTTTTGTAAAGAAAGGAACTACTAGCAACACAGTTCAATCCCTTCAGCTTTTTTTCTGAATATCATCTAAGGCAAAATCTATATCTTACTAAATAACTATAGCTATAAGTATGCTGTATATTTACAAAAGCCAGAATCTCTCTTCTCTTTGCTGGCAGAGTTGTGTATCTTTTCCTTAATCACAGTCATAGGCAAGACTGTGAAATGACGGATACCAAACACCTGCAGTTCCCTACAATATATTTGTTAGTCCATATACATGGAGTTACCTGGTTTTGTTTTGATCACAGAGGCAATTTCTGAAGTGTCAAACATTACTCCTAAGTTGAAAAAAAGGTCACTACAGTGTCTTTGAAGCACCGCTACACAGTAGTGACAGAAAAGCAAAGATTGAGTTTCATGCCTGCAAGTTTTACTTAAACAAATGGCCCCAGTTTGCCTACTCACTTAGGTGCCTCTGTTAGTTTTCCCATAATTGTGAGGTCTGCAGTTAAATGAAATGGCAGATTCATCATTGATACAATCTTTGTCCAAGGTTTACAGTCCTTTAATTTGTGTGCTTTCAGGGCTTGAGGGCATTTTTCCAGTAGCTTTTCTTTATCCTGAAGGGATTTGGGTATCCTTAACAGGGACTAAATTAATCCTTACATCAAATAATACCAGAAACGTGGCCTTCACTTGTTGTCAACTTAGAATTAAAAACGAAATTGATTTTTCAGAAAGCAAAAGGAACATAGAACACAGGTAGAAATTACACAGAAAAAAAAGATTACAGTCAATACTTCAGTGTCTACAATGTCTTCAGTGATTAGAGAATTGACAAAAGAGTAAATAGATCTTCATGTCTGTTGATCATAAAATCTTGAATTCACCCTATGTATGGGTGTTTGAGCACGTAAATTAAAATTAATAAAAGGGCAAAATCATGGCAGAAGGGGGAAAAAGTAGCAACGGGGGGCAAACTAAAAAAACAGAACTTCACAAAGAAGTCTACAACTATCAAACAAATAAACATTGCACTAATTTACAGTCATTAAGCTTAGGTACAAATATGCATTCTTATGAAATGCCCCCAAACAACAATATACATAAAATCTATTATTTTAGAGTGAAATGTTGAAAAGCATTTTTTCCTTCATTAAGAAGGTATTTTTCTACTACCCATAATACCTAGCATGTTTTTTTTCTTCATATGCAGGTGGAAAAAATAGCAAACTACTAAAGACTAGATGACCATGAAACTACAAATTTCATATTGATATCAGATCGATTGTTACCAGGTCTTAAGACTTCCCACAGCAACTGATGGTTGTTTTGACTAATTTCTAAAGAACTGGCATACAATTCTTCACAGAAATTTAAAAGATAATAAGAAATTTTGGAAATTAAATAGTGATGTTTTGAACTGAATTCTCTGCTGGTCAGAAGTTGGCCTACAGTCCTAACAAACAATAATGAGGCTTCACTCACTGGTCTTTATAACCATACTAAATAACCTTGACTACTGAAGATAACTGGGTTTAGTGACTCTTGGAAGGAAATAAAAATTGTGTTTCTGCTCAGATGAAAGAAAATTCACTGTTTAAGAAACCTCTGAACCACCGCCATAACAAGTTATTGTGCTTTGTGCTATAACCTAGACTATAATAAGATGGACCTGTTGGTTCCTCTATTTCCAGAAATTTCCTTGAACCTAGTTTTCAGTGTTCTTAAGAATGGTTAAAAAAAAGTCATTTCAAGACTTGTTTCAGGAAATCTTCACAACCCACCTTCCTTATTTCTGGTAATCTTGATATTTCAATAAGCCCACCAATTTGGGGTGGGGGTGGGAATCAACATATTTTGCTGAGTAAAGAATTGCATAAAGAAAAATGGACCACTATACACCTTTATCCAGGACAAATATCATAGAACCACAGAAAAATGGCTAATTTTAACAAGTAAAAATTAGCTACATTTTATTAATATTTACAAACAAAACCTGTGTATTTACAAAGTAAACACTTCAAATTAACATAACTTGTTAGAAAAAAAAAAAATCCTTAAGCATTTAACTAGTGGAACATATTTTCTCTCCCTGAATTCAAAGGGAAATAGAATTAATCTATGTCCAAAACTATTTCTTTCACTCTCAGAGAGAAATTACAAGCAGAAATCTACAAGTAATAGAATGCTATTTTAAACTCAGAAGAATGGTTAGATAAATTCATGTGGCATAATTCTCATACCAATGCAGGTTATCAAGATGCATGCATAATAAATAAAATCAAGGCATCTCAATGAAATGTGTTAACATAAATTTAGCTAGAAATTCAGAAAAAAATAGCAGCTTTGTTCTACAAGCAGAAAGAAGGGTTTTTTTTAGCTTGGAGAGGTTTTGATTTTCCTTACATAACACTTCTACTAATCCTTTATTCAAACAGATATTAATAACGACTATCTGCTATTGCAGATTCCTTTTTCAGGAAGGAAAAACATTCTGTTTACTTCACTGATAGGAATATCCCTCAATGCTGGAATTGCTTCTTCTTGAAATTTCTTCTGTTGCTGCTTTTTTGCATAGTTATCTACAAGAGACAACGAGAACATTTCATGTAGTAAAGATTTTTTTCTTTCAAGAACAATATGCAACACTGTATAAATTTAGCAACTATAAGCGATGCTGAAAACCCCATCTTGCTAAGGTATAATGAGACAGTCATCAGAAATGCTTTACATCAACATATATTAGTAGAGCCCCTGAAGAAATCAACCCTACCTTCCTGCTGAAATCACTGCCTGGGACTTTGCTTGGTTTAAAATGCTGTATGCCATTAAACCATAACTACCCAAAGATAAAAAGAACAAATAAAAAACCCCCACAGTGAATAATAGCTCAGTCTGTAGTTTGAACACTTTGTACTAGGATTTCTGCTGAGAGATCCTGTCCACCCTCCCTTTATCTTGGCTGCTTGTTCCCATCACCACACAGCGCCCATTCCTGTAACAGCATAAACATTTGTACAGGTGCACTTTGAACACAATTATGGAACTGCTCCCTCTGTAAAAGAAAATTTTCAAGTACAGTTGTTTTTCAAACAGAGTAGGTCCCCCATCCCACCTGCCATACAGCCACACAAACTCTTTGGTTGACACCAAATGAGAGAGTGACATGAGTGTGAATGAGTGGCCAGGAACACAGGGATGACTAAATGGCAGTTCTTGACAGAAGCACTGGAGTAATGCATTTGAACTACAGCCTTGACTGATTTTTTTTTCCTTAGCAGCTCAGTGTAATGTAATACTATGTACATAGTTTGTTAAAATGATGCAACTTCAGCAGTCTTAGCAATAGGTAACCTTCTTGCCAAAGTTTACAGTCTGCACTTTTTCTAACAAAAATGGCCCCCTGCAAATGGTGGAATTCCTCACATGGAGGACAATGTAGCTGCCTGGAGAATATTGTGAATGCCTAGAACATGTCTCCTTGGCAGGAGTAAAGGCTACGCAAAAGTTGAGAGAAAAACTGAAGAACAGCTTTTTTAGATAGGGAATCACTAACATACCTGATCAGGCCTCAATAGTGCAACATCCTCCTTTGCAACACCTTGACTCCTGCATGCCTTTCCACTTCTGCCACTGCCAGGCAGGTACTCACATCCTTCTTCCCATGACACTCTTCACTGGTTTGTAATGCAAGGTGCATGCTTGGGGGATCTTTATATGCCTAACCCCTGTTCCTCTAATGTGGTCTGTTTTACTAAAAAAGTACACTCTACTAGTTGGAAACCACTGCCATAAGAGGGCAAAGAGGGAAGATTCAGGCTTGTGGCTATCTTTTCACTCTAGTACTTCAGTACCTCCAAGAACTCCTTTTCTAGATAAAAATATTTAAAGGCTTAAAATTTGATTCATATTATATATGGCTACATAGATATATTTACAGAAATTATCAGTTAAGTATCAAAATCTTAAAAAAACCACCAATAAAATTACCTGTAATGGTATGTGTGGAGTTAAGTGGAGCTGTACTCATCATGTTAATACCGAAAAGTAATATATAACCAATTCCTATAGCAACTAGTAGGTATGCTGGCAAAGCAACTGCCCAGTATCTGAGGAAAAAGATTTTAAAATTTACATATCATAATAACAAATGCCTAATGATATAACAGTTTTAATATAGTGGTTGTTGTTGTATCTAGCACAAACTTAGCCAAGAGGAAAAGAAACACCACCTCTGAATATGGGCCCTGGTCTCTCCCAAAATTACTGACTGCAGAGTCACTGTAGGTAGTTTGGTATGAACTGTCAAATAGATTCCTTACCGAAGGTTTTTATTTTTTTAATTATGGTTTGAAGTTTGCTATATTTTCATCGGCAAACTTCCTGAAAACAAAATGTCAAATTTATCATAAAACATTCAAATACTATTTCTTTCATTACACAATGAAAAATTTTCATCATGGCTACTTATCTACATAAAAAAAAAGCTTCACAAAAATTACAGTACTTTATAATCAGGAAAAGCTGGATTAGATACAAGGCCACTATTTAAAAATAAGTTTTATTTGAAAATAATTAAGGGTGTCCTATACTTACACATACTCAGGCTGAAGAGTTTAATTGGTTGAACTTACTTTTGAGGCCAGTATGTTAGTCCCAATGAGAACAGCCAAGTCTCAGGAACGTATGCCCAGATAAGATACAACACTGCACAAAAGAATTAAAAAGTCATAATAGTACGACTGTTTTAGACTTCCTTCCTAAGTTTTAGAGCAAAACTTCCCTACTGATACATGCTGAGACAATATTTTGCTTTTAAAGTATTTAAATCAGAATAGCTCTACCAAAACATTGTAGAACATGCCTCTTGGACACAAAACCTGCCCAATATGGGGGCAATGTTTTATAGCTGGTTGTATGATACTATTTTTCTATTTCCTTTAACGTTTAGGTTCTGATTTCCTATGCAGACGGACAAGAATTTCTTGTTGAACTGCAGAACAAAAAAACCCTCAGTAAAAGGATGCCAAATGACTCTGAATGTAGAAAATATTTAAGCAGAAAATGATTGCACAGTGGGTCATCTGGTTGAAAGAAAAGTTGGTCGAATTGCAGTGCTTGGATGCAACTGTTCAGAAAGAGTTACTGGAAATACTTTCTGATTCTTGGCAAGTTCATAATTTTCATGTCAACAAAACCAGTACTGAGAAATTTTGCTCTCTAACAACAAATCCATACAAAGGTTTAACAAAACTTGATGGGAGCAGGTTAGTAGCCAAACGGTGACTCAAGTTACAGAACAGCAGTGGCTTCCTGTGAGAGGAACAGACACCAACTTACTTTCATTTCTACTTACTTCCTAAGGGCGAGAAAGACTTACAGTAGGATCCTGGTTTATTATTTGACTACCGTGTATTTGCAGCACTATTTCTGTGTTGAAAAAGCGTTCTCATCCTCTCAAGCTTTGGCGCTGGGTGGACATGCAAGATATGCCCAGTGAAATGCTAAAGCACCTGTCACACCGGCAAAGAAATGCTGGTATAACCCTCATCACTTTCCACTGCTGTTGACCAGACTGACGTAATTTTGTTTTTCAGCATTTGGGTGGGGAAGGTCGCAGGACTACCAGGTACAATGGTTACTGAACAGTGACAATGTATGCAATTCAAGTAAGAAAGTTACTAAAATGAGAATGCAGATTATTTTTTAACTAATTTGACTCCATAATACTATTAAAGACCCCATAATAAGGTTAAAGATGGACAAAACACGAGGAAATCACAGAAGGCAATGGCAGATCTTTATAACAACTGACAGCTCTGGCAAGTAATGCTCACTTAGTCCTTCATCATGCACCCTTACAATAAGCGGTGCAATACAATTTTGATCCTTTTCAGATGGTCTTACCGGAATTACATTTGTCCCGTAAGCAAAGCAAAACACTTTTCGGTTAAGTAATCAGTACCCGGTATACTTACTAAAGCCAAACCACGATCCTAAAAAAAGAGCAAATCCATATATTGCCCTTTCTGGCAACGGGGCTGGAGAGTTTTCAACCATACTGGTCTCTTCCCTTTAACTTCGGGGGGGGAGCGGAACACGGTAAGAAGCTGTTAGAGGTTTCCCGGTAAGTTCCTCTCGGAACACCCCCGTTGTGGGTGGGTGCGGGAAGCCACACCGCACACGCACCCCGTTTTACTCCCCAGCCCACGCGCGCGCCCCCGTCCCCTCAGCCCCGGGG